AGTGGAAAGGAGGGAGGGAGGGCGGGAGGGAGATGGAGGGGAGAGAGAGGGAGAGAAACATCGATGTGAGAGAGACGCATTGATTGTTTGCCTCCCACACAAGCCCCTCCTTGGGGCCAGGCATCGAACCTGTACCCCAGGCACCTGCCCTTAACCAAGAATCTAACCTGAGACACTTTGGTATCCGGACCGATGCTCTAGCCACTGAGCCACACTGGCCAGGGCATGTTTCTTCCTTTCGCCTCAGTCTCCTTCAGATCTCCTCCCCTCTGCTCCCTGTCTCCCCACCCCCTTCTCTCTGCTCCTTGAACTGCAGTCGCCCCATTGGCACTGCTCTGAGCCCAGAGACCCTCCGTAGGGATCCAAATGAGAAAGGGTCTCTCAACAACGGCAGAGGAGGAGCTCTCCCATGTGAGACCACCCCCAGTGCAGGGTCCGGGGAGGAGATGATGGCTTCTAAAATGACTGAGTGCTACTTTCCCTGGGTGAGCGCCAGGAGCAGCCTAGGCCTGCCTGCCAATCGGCACCCAAGTTTTCTCCAGACAGTTGGGGACCTTCTGGCTCCAGGATGACCACCCTTTGCCTGACAATGCCCAGGCCCTCCAGGAGGTCTGAGAGGCAAAAGCCCACAGCACAGAAATTCCTAGAAAGGGCTTTTCCCAGCCCATCTTTAAGTATCAGGGTAGCAGGACTCAAAAGAAACTCAGATGAAAGGAAACTAAATTATCAGGTGACGCTTTCCATCAGTGGGATCTACCACAGCAGGAAACTGGAGGAGTCCCTTAGGCTGTCTGAGTCACAAATGTGGCCGGGCCCATAAAAGGCATCGAGAATATACCTCTCAGGAGCAACCACAGCGCAGCCAGAAACTTCACCTTCAAACCTCTTGGCCCCTGGTTTTTTCCCTGTTGCCTTTCTTCAGGGGCAAAGACAAACCAGGCTTGGTCATAATCCTAGGTCCAAATGGAAAATAACTTCTGAGCTTGTTAAATATCATATATTACTGTGTTCCTGCCTCAGTTGATCTAAGTTTCTTGAGGACTTAGGCTTCCATGAGCCCCATCTGTTGGGCACGTGGTAGACACTCATGCCATTGCATGAACGTGGTGATGGTGGTAGAACTCTGCCCTGCAGGTGAAGACTCTGCGTGGTAAGTTCTCCCCTCAGACAACAGTCCCTGGGTGGGGATCAGGTCTGGGACAGAGCCTTGGGGCACTCAATGTTCCCTCCACCCCCACCTGCAGCTCACCTCCTGCCACAAGTTGGGTGAGATCAGATCAAAATTAAGGGCAGCCTTAAAGGGAGATACATTGCAGTGTCCCTGGGTTCTGGTGAGAATGTTCTGGATGTTGGATGCCCATAAGCTCCTACACTCCCACCTCTGAATCAGCCACCCTCAATCCGCAGTGGGAGGTTCCACCCACTTTACAGAAAAGGAAGGGGAACCTGTTCCCACAGTGTTACCCACTCGACAAACACCAAACCTGGCTGAACACCGCCCTCAGCTCTCTCCAGTCCTGTACCCAGCAGCTGAATGTGGTCAGAGGACACGCAACAGTGCCGCTCAAACCCCCTCTCCATTGCGCCCTTGACCTTCAGCCAGCATTCCTGCTGCCCGGGGACCACACCCGTTTCCCCGTCCTTCCCTCCTCTCCTCAACCACTGTCTCATACGTTCCTTCTCCTCACACCCCCAGCACCTCTTGATCTTGTTCCTATTTCCAGAGAAAATAGAGTCCACCAGAAGAGAAGAGGCAATGCCTCTGAGATGAGAGCCGGGAGCTGCGGACAGGGTCTTCGTGGAAGTTTTACTTCCTAGTCCCAAGGTGCTCTGGCGCCCAGCTCCCCAGACCTGGCACTGCCCGCAGCATGAGGTCATGTGAGGAGGCCCCGGCCTTACCTAAGTGCATTACCGAGACTGGCTGGAAAGCCCCTGGGGTTAGACTATGGTGTCGGTATTTCTTCTTCTCTTATTGGACAAACACATGGCCTGCAGATGGATAGGAATAGAAAAAAGGAGAGAAGTTTTCAATTTGAGGATAAATCAACTAATGTTCCTTTCTAGGTCCCAGTAATATAGCTGTGAATGAGAAAACAGTTTCCAAAACAATGCGGGAGATAAGCCTGAAACACATACAGACCGGATTGCAAACTTTGTAGATCCTGTGAAAGAAAAAAACAAGGAGGGGAGGCAGAGGGGGAGAGACAGAAAAGAGAGGCTGAGAGAGAGAGAGAAACAGGGGGACAGAGAAAGACAGAGATTAAGATTTGAAAGTGCTACACTGTTGGCTTCGAAAACGGAGGAAGGGGCCACAAGCCAAGGAATTTAGTAAGTGGCCTTGAGAAGCTGGAAAAGGAAGGAACAGATTCTCCCCTGGACTCTCCAGAAGGAACCAGCCTTGAGACACTTAGACTTTAGCCCAGTGAGACTCACGTGGCACTTGTGACCTGCAGAACTGTAAGGTAATAAATGTGTGTTGTTTTTATCCTCTAGGTTTGTGGTGATTCGTTACAACAGTAATAGGACACTGGCACAGGACTCCAAGTGTCTTCTGCTCCAATCCATTCCTTGAATGATGAAAATACTGAAAAAAGGAAAATTAGGCAATATTACATGGCAGCAAGGCAACATATACTAGGTGCTAAATCAAATACAAAAATAGTAAGCACATTAACAGTTGAGGAGTTCAGCAAGAAAATTCCCAAGCTGCTAAAGAGAACAATCTAGAACAAAGGTCCTCCCGGCCCTTCAAAACAAGAGCAGTTTATCTGAGACATCACTTGTGTTAATTACATCCAACAGCCCTGCGTAGGATTGTTCCAGTATTAACAAGAGTCCCCCTTCATGCCTCCTGGAATATTTCATCATAGATTCTATAGGATACTCACCATGAGGAGCTCTAGACACATAAACAATCAGGAACAACTCCATTTAACCACAAAAGATTTCACGTTCCTCTGTCCTATAATCCAGGCCCTAGACAGGTCCTAAAACACAGCAATGAGTAAGACATAATGGGTACCCTCAAATTGCAGTTCAGATTAAACATAAAATGCTATTGTGTACACATAAAATGTTGCTTCCAAAGTTTTAGATGCACAAGTGAGATATAAGTTATGGTTCCCCCTGGCCAGGTGGCTCAGTTGGTTGAAGCGTCACCCTGTACACCGAAAGGTTGCTGGTTCTATCCCCAGTAGGAGCACATATGGGAAACAGCTGATCGATGTTTCTCTCTCTCTTTCTCCCTTCCTCTCTCTCTAAAATCAATAAACATGTCCTCAGGGGAGGATTTTTTTTAAAAAAATAGAAAAGAATATAATTTATCCTTACACTGGGTAACTCTTTAAAGAACATGGCCAGTGAATGTCCACGCCATACAAAATTTTACCACGGTCATACTCAATCTGCTTGCAAATTACTGTAAAGTATTAAGATAACATAATATTTAATCCACTATATCAGACATGTGAGAGATCACTGCTCATGTGTCTGGGTTGCAGAGTATCCCTTCCTCCCCCAGGGTCTTCTCTGTCCCTGCAGGACTCAGGACGTCACCACCAAGGCAGAGCACCAGTGTCTCTCCACTTCTAAACATTAGTAAAGTTAATTTCCTTTCTAGGCAAATGAAAATATAAATGGAATGCTAATATTTTCTTCCTTGACCTTACTGAGCACCCAGGAACCCCTTTGGATGATGTAACGCAGAATCCTCCCATCCTGTGACACTCCGGAGGGAAGATAAAGGTCAGTGGCTACACCGTGGGATCATCGAGGAATAGACGCTGCTCAGCCCAATCATGAGTGGAGGGGTGGACATATGAAGTATTTTCTTGTTGTTCCTCAGAGCCAGAAACCTGTTGGTGAGTTAGGGAGACTCCTGGAAAATCCATGGGATTCTCAAAAGTCCCATGGATGTTAGAACAGCATGCTGCCATGGGAAAGAACAAAATCAGGAGTCCTGGGTTCAAATTTTGCCTCTGCCGGGCACTGGCCACATCATCTAGGGAAGTTGTTAGAATAATGACCCCCTTCCTTAAATCATGCTTCCTGCATTCTCCCCCTTTAGTCATGTGGCTTTGCTGCTCCTCCCATCAAGAAGTGGAGTCTATTTCCCCAATCCTTACCTCTGGGAGGGCCCTGTGACATGCTTTGACCAACAGAATGGAACAGAAGTGACTTGAGACTTCCAAGTCACGCCAGCTCCTGCTTTGGCCCTGTTGGGACACTCTCGCCATGGTTTGAAAATGCCAAGGGTGAAAGGCTTCTCGGCTGGGTGCTGCCACACCAGTAAGCTCAGGGGAGACCAGCTGAAGAATCTCCCAGTCTACCCACAGGATCGTGGGGAATAACAAGTCATCACTGTTTTAAGCCACTGAGTGTGAGTGTAGTTTGTTGTGCAGCAACGCTGACAAATACATCACTCTAGTCCATCTGTTCCTGTTCCGTGCATCTGTTTCCTCACCTAAAATCTGAGTTTGAACTAGGTGGTCTCTAGTCCCTAACTCTCTGAAGCTACATTAATAAAACAGTGATAAAGGTGCCAAGTCAAGGTCCAGCAGCGAAGTCAAAATGGGTCAAAGTCAGAGCGGTGGTCATGGTCCTGGAGGTAGCAAAAGGGGTGCCACAGACAAGAAAAAGACATAGACCCTCCCGTGCCAACTAGAGTGGGGGAAAGAAGAAAACAAGGGGACCAGATGCTGCCAGCAAACTGCCACTGGTGACAACTCACACTCAGTGCTGGTTGAAATTATTGAAGTTAGGGAGAATTAAAGACTATCATCTCATGGAGGAAGAATTCAGTAGAAGTCAGGAACAAATGAAGCCTTTGGAAGAAAAGCAAGAAGAGGAAAGATCAAAGGTGGATGATCTGAGGGGTCTCCAATGTCAGCAGGGACCTTGGAAGAGATCATTAATGACAATCACACCCTTGTGTCTGTATCTGTGGACTCAGAACACTGCATCAGCATTCTTTCATATGTGGACAAGGACCTGCTGGAAGCAGGCTGCTCTGTCCTGCTCAACCGCAGGTGCATGCTGGCTTTTGGGTTCTGATGGATGACACGGGTCCCTTGGTCACAGTGATGAAGGTGGAGAAGGCCCTGCAGGAGGCCTATGCTGACAATGGAGGGTTGGGCAACCAAATCCAGGAAATTAAGGAATCTGTGGAACTTCCTCTCACTCATCCTGAATTTTATGAAAAGATGGGTCTAAATCCCCCTAAGGAGGTCATTCTCTGTGGTCCACCTGGCATAGGTAAAATCTTATTAGTCAAAGCAGTAGCAAACCAAGCCTCGGCCACTTGCTTGAGAGTGGTTGGCTCTGAACTTATACAGAAGTACCTAGGCCATGGGCCCAAACTCGTTCAGGTTGCTGAACGAGATGCTGATGAATATGCAGCGTCCATCATGGTTATTGATGAAATTGATGCCACTGGGACAAAAAGATAGGACTCAAATTCCGGTGGTGAGAGAGAAATTCAGCGAACAGTGTTGGAACTGTTGAACCAGTTGGATGGATCTGAGTCAAGGGGAGACGTAAAAGTTATCACAGCCACACACCAAATAGGAACTTTGGAGCCAGCACTTATCAGACCAGGCTGCATTGACAGCAAGATCGAGTTCCCCTGCCTGGCAAAAAGACCGAGAAGAGCATCTTTCAGATCCACACAAGCAGAATGACGCTGGCTGATGACGTGACACTGGACAACTTGATCGTGGCTAGAGATGACCTCTCTGGTACTGACATCAAGACAATGTGTACAGAAGCTGGTCTGATGGCCTTGAGAGAACATAGAATGAAAGTAACTAATGAAGACACCCAAAAATGTAAAGAAAATGTTCTGTATAAAAAACCAAGAAGGCACCCTTGAGGGGCTCTATCTCAAGCAAACTACAATTGCCTTCAAGGAAATGGTGGGGAATGCCTGACCCCTTAGAGGAAGGAGTTTGGGGAAGTTGCCAGAGGAGCCCCGTTCCAGTTGATCTTCATTAGCAACACGTTCTGTGCACTGTGTACCTTTCTGAGCATCATGTGCAGTGCCCTCTTCCCAATAAAACATGCTCTTCCTAAAAAAAAGCCAGGTCCAAGCGAGCAGCACTCAGGAATGAGCAGCGCCTCCTTGTGGCTGGAGTCTGTCCCATTCCAAAGTCACTGAGGAGGGCAGGAGTCCACTCCAGCTGTGCTCATGGGCGCCTGGGATGTAGCGCCAGACAGGCGAGCTCAGACGCTGGGGGACATGTCCTGCCTTCCCCATACCAGCTGCGTGCCCTTACTCAGAGATCCCTTTCACTGCCCTGAGCCTGTCTTCCTTTGCAAACCACAGATAGAAATCACTACCTCAAGGAGCTGTTGTGAAGATTAAATGAGATGTGTGAAGTACCTGGAGCCTACTCAGCACTGAAAATGGTAGTTACAATCCGCATACTTCAACGCAAAGAGGCACGGAGATGCCCACTTCCAACAGGAAGGAGAAAGAATGAGGGTGGGAAGCAGAGGACAAGAAGACAGGTGACTTTGATCATGGCTACAACCTAAATATTACTGCTAAGTGCAGAAGGGCTTGAGGGGAGACAGAAGGGAAATTGGAGTGAACCCTCCCTTGCTTTGTATGGATTAGTGCAAACATTGTAGTAAGTCGCTCTGCAGGATGCTCATGTTGGCTGCACATCCCTCGGGCCATAAATCAATGGCCCGGGCCTCCCCATCTAAGCCAATGGGTGCTTTCAAGAGCAGCAGTCCCAGGTCACTTTACCTCCCGTCGTTGGGTCATTCTATTTTTTCCTAGTGCTTCTCTAAACTCTTAACTTCCCCATTGCAGGGTCTCATTGAGTTGACCTCTGACTTCAGGCTCATTTCCAGAAGTGTTTAGATTCTCTGTTGTGGAAGTCTGTTTCTTTAAAGTAAATATTTAATTGCCCCTTTAATTCTCACCTTTTCTGTCTGTATGAGGGGATCCCACAGAAGCTGCAAGCGCTTCCTGACAGCATTTGACTCCCAAATTATAGCTGCCATTGAGGGCGCAAAGTCTCGATCTCTCTACCTAAATGTATGCATGTTGTGAAATCCAGGGTGTAGAGGGATGTTCAGAAAATAGCTTCTTGAACAGGGCTTCCTTCCTGTGGCCAGTTTCATGCAGACATGTCACAATTGCAGGGGGGAAAATGAAAGGTTAAAAAAATACACTGGATTTGCTGAAAAAGTTATTTCTTGTAAAAGCTTCTCCCTTCCACTTAGGGAGACATGAACAAGCATATTCTCTCTGGTTTTCTAACTTTGTAAAGGTAAAGAAAACCTCAGCTCAGCAAGGGTTCTGTGCCTAAGCCAGCAACCCTGTGCCCAGCCTAGGGGGTGGATCAGCGGTACTCCCCACTGACTACACTCATGGCCTGTCCACCACGTTCTATTTGGATACNATGGCCTGTCCACCAGGTTCTATTTGGATATTTCTCATGACCCTGAAAAAAAGTAATGGGTTGGGTGGCTGGGTAAAAAAGGTGACTGGATTAATAATAAGTATAAATTGGTAGTTACAAACTAGTCACGGGACATAAAGTACAGCAGAGGGACTACAGTCAATAGCATTGTAATAACTATGTGTGGTGCCAGGTGGGCACTGGAAATATCAGAGGGGAGCACTTTGTAAAGTACATGTGATTGTCTAACCACTATGCTGTCCACCTGAAACTAATACAAAATAATATTGAATATAAACCGTAACTGAAAAATAAATTTTTTTAAGAAACACAATGAGCTATCATTATGTGTATATAACCTACGACCCACAATTCCACATCTAGTATACACCTGATAGAAACGCAAACTCCAGAATACAGGTCATGTATATAATTAAATATGTGTACACACATATACACATATACATATACATATACATATACATATACATATACATATACATATACATATACAAAGGCAGCACTGTTTGTGATTTCCGAAGCCTAGGGTGGGGGAAACAGATGCCCATCAACATTGGAATAGATAAATCACTTGTGGCATATTCATGCAAAGGACTAACATACAGCAATGAAGAGGAACAGTCTAGGGCTACATACAACATGGATGAAACTTTAAGAAAGTGTGGAAAGAAAGGGCCCAGTCCCATCCACCCTAAGAGTAAAAAGATCAGTCTGGAAACAGAACTAAAATGTGAGGTCTGGGGGTGCACACGTAGGCTGTCAAAGTGAAGACAAATTAGGGAACTGATGGCCATCTCCCTCTGGCCAAAATCCTTTGAGGTGGGAATTCTTAATGTCCCTGTTCTGTAGACAGTGACACTCAGAGAGGCTGAGTGACTTGTCCAAGATGATAACCAGTGAGGGATGCAACTAGAACTTGAACTCGCCTCTCCTGTGGCAAACTCCACTTTGCTTCCCAATAAACCCTACTCCTGGAGAGACGATCCCATATTGTGGGGCTGAGGAGCCGAGAGGGAGCAAAGGATCCCATGCGAGAGGAGAGGAGGTCGGGTGGCAGGTGTAGGCCACACCCCTGGGGAACTTGGCAAGCAAAGGCACGAGAGCACGGGGCTGAGTGGAAAAAGGCTGGAGGGGGTGAATTCACAGAGGAGACCTACACGTGTGTGAGCGACAAGGACACGTGTGACCTGGTGCCACGAGGAGGCACTTCACACGCACTGTTCTTTTATGCCTCAACTGAGCCTGGTGCTCAGGATTGCTGCCCTTCCTCCCTCTTATCATGGAAGAGTCAGAGGTCCCAAGTGGCACACAAGTCCCCAGATGCAATAGAGCAAGAGGTTAAGGGCTCAGGCCCTAGGGTCAGGTGGACCTAGCTTTTAACCTGGCTCTGTGATGCCCAGCTTCGGTTTCCCACCTGTAAGACAGGATATCACTGGCAACCTCTCAGATACCCGTTACCTGCCCGATCCCGTTAGCTACTATTATTACTACTGCTACTATTAAATCATAAGAACTAGCACTTGCATAAAAAGGATCGCTTGCATCTATAAAACATTTTACATGTGTCAGATAGTTTGTAAAAGTTTTGTAAGCGCAAGTCCATAATTTTTACTCCAATTCAAGCACCATTTTCACTCTATTAAGTCACTTCGTTGGAAGAAGCAGTCTGTGGAAAGGAAGAAATTGAAGGTGCTTGAAAATAAGGGCCTGGCTGAGAGCGCAAAGGCAGGCAGAAGCGCTGTGGTGGCCGTCGGGTGCAGCCAGGATCTGTCCCCGGGGCATGGAAGGGCATGCAAGGACACGAGGTCTGCAGTGGAAACCCAGGGCATCATTACTCCACCCAAATGTCCATTGAGAGCTTACTTCGCACCAAGCACTGCTCTGGGTGCTGAGCAAACAAAAGTGGAATATTTTATTAAAACTGCCAAAACTTTTCATACAATATTTCTTCACCGCAATCCCTGCGAGGGAGGTTAGAGTGACCCATTTTACAGATGAGGAAACTAAAACTGAGAGACGTTAAGCAGCTTGCCTGAGTTCAAAAAAGCCACAACTAGGAAATGACAGCCGGGCCTGTCTGCCCGAGCTTTCTCATAACACCAAGCTTCTCAACCTCTGAGACACGGCACAGGATGAGAGTAGCACCAGGCCCACGCTGAGAAAGGTCTGAAATGTTCTTTCATGCTCTATCAAAGCATGGTGTGCCCTCCCCACCCCTGAACCTTGCTGGGGGTGCAGAAGCATGCCCCAAAGAGAGACAGCAGGTTTTACGTATGAGGTGATAACAGCTGCTCACCACCCGGATGTCCCCAGAACCTTACATTCCCTTTGCTCCATCAAATAGCTGTCCATCGGTCCTCCCTTGTCCATCCATCTACCCATCTTAGCTTTTTTGACACATCACAAGGTAGGATGCGGTCACCAGTACCCTTGACCTAACGCCTTAGTATGCATATTAACCTGTCCTTAACATCTGTTTATAGTTTTTTCTTTAGATGTAAAATTTACACATGATGACATGCATACATTTTCCTTATATAATTGCTGAGTTTTGACAAATGCACATACCTGTGCAACTCAAGCCCCTATCGAGATATAGACATTGCCCCGGCTGCGTGGCTCGCTTGGTTGGAACTTCGTCCCATACACCAAGAGGTTGTGGGTTCGATTCCTGGTCAGGGCATATACCTAGATTGTGAGTTCGATCCCCAGTCGGAGCATGTATAGAGGCAACTGTTCAATGTTCCTCTCTCTCTCCCTCCCTTCCTCTCTCTCTAAAATTAATTAAAACATATCCCCGGGTGTGGATTAAGAAAAAAAAAAGACAGACATTACCATCAACCCAGAAACTTCTTTCATGCCTTTTTCTACTCAATTCCTGCCCCCTCCCCACACACAGTGACTACTGTCCTGGTTTTTCCCACCACGTTGCGGACCTGTCAGCTCTAGAGCTTCATGAAAATAGAATCCCACAGTAAGCACACGCCTAGGCAGGGCTGCCTCCGCTCAGCGTAAAGCCGAGGTTCGTGCACGCTGCTGAGAACAGCTGTCATCTGTCCCTTTAAGTCTTTGAGTTGCATGCATTGTCCCAAGCACCACAGTTTGTTTCCCATTCTCCCAGTGATGGGCGCCTGGAATCTTCCCAGTTTTTTCTATTGGGAATAAGGTGCTCGGTCTGTTTTTGTGCCAACTGGCATGCCTTTAAGAGTAAAAGGGAGCGCCCTTAAAGGCCAGCCCTGGCCGGGTGGCTCGGTTGGTTGGAGCACCATCCCGGACACCGAAAGGCTGCAGGTTCGATTCCCTCTCAGGGCACATACCCCGCCCGGCTGCTGGCTCAGGCCCCGGTGGGGCATTACGCAAGGCAGCCGATGGGTGCTTCTCTCTCACATCGATGTTTCGCCCTCCCTCTCACTCCCTCTCTCTCTCTCCCTCTCTCCCTTTCCCTCCTCTAAAATCAATAAAAGCATATCCTCAGGTGAGGATTTAAAAAAGAA